CAACGAACAACCTCGTGATTACTGCTACAATTAATAATTGTCTCAGTAAACCCATCAAACCTCTACAATGATATGTTTATGTTCCTAAATTAATATAGTTTATGATCATCAGACGTGTTATGCTCCTCTTCTTTTTATGCTCAGCTACTAAAATTTCCCTTTAGTTGTAAAATTCCATATAAATATTCAATACTAAGCAGATTAAAAAATGCACAGTAAAGAGATTAAATTATTAAATCTTTTCACTACCGACCAATGCACTACGAGTGCCCCTGTCGGTCATTTCGGCCAGCCAATCAAGTACCGCGTGACGTATGATGTGAGTAGTTGCGTGCACTACGGGTTTGTACCGCGCACTTTGAATGGCATCATCTGTATGTTGGGCATAGAAAGGTGAAGCTCATATTCAGAAAACACTCACGCCCACTGAAATATTGTAGTCAGTCTATTATGCTTTGGCCAGGAATGGACATTCCAGGATGACAATGATCCAAGATATTCATCAAAATCAACAAAGAGATAGTTTATTGCTATCAATATACTGCAATTAACCAATGGCAATAACCACTGCCATTACCTTCCCAAACTCCAGACCTCAGTCCAGTCAATTGTTTGTAAATAAAATAGGCGGCAGTTGGCAAACAGAAACTATCAATTTAATCCATATCCACAAGAGGATTTACAAAATACATTTTTATAAGTTTAAATTATAATAAATATAAATATGTATCTAATATTTTCACTTAAATTATGACACATTACTTTTCTCTGTGCAAAATTATTACGATTACAATATAACATTTTTTCAATTATTTTAGCATGATATTATCCAATCTGTCAGTAAATCGGTTAACTAACTACTCAGTCTACAACACAAGCCAGAAGACACTAGACCATCCAGGAATTAATTGAATTGAGACTCCTTAAGCTGGAACTTTAATCCTTAGAAATAGAAAATAATTCTTCTATTTTATGTGGTGGTCAATAGTAGTGGTGAATTTGGATTATCTTCTGATTCAGTATTTCTAGACATTGTTTACTGCACATAAATTTATTTTGAATACCAGAAATCATGAATACACATTTCATTCATACCTTTATATTTCTTATGTATGGATTCATCAGTTTTTGTAGCCCAGCACAAAACTCTTCATACTGTTGGAAGATGCCTTACCAGGTTTCCTTGTGCTCGAGTTGTTGACCAGCTGCTTAATCCACAGAGTTGGAGCAGTGATCTCTGCTAAGAAAAATGATTTTTCAGCACCTGTATAATTTTTAACCCAAGGAGACCATTTTCAAAATACATCAGGCTATTTAGTAATCTAAATGTGCAGAAGTTTAAATTTATTTTTTCTTCATCACAGAATTTGTAGTGTTTTTAGGCAACCCATGGCAAACATCCAACTGATTTAATCAGCTTTGGGGGGTGTCCCATGACCCAAAGTAAGATGACTTGAGTTTGAACTCTGCTCCACCATTTCTTCATTTTACTAATTTCCCTCCATTTTATTTTACTTTATTACTAATTGTACGACTTATTCCTAACATGTCAGTGATGTAGAAGGTGCAGGCTTTTCCTCTATTTTCTAATGCATGAATACACAGGAGCTCCTCAAAGAAATAAAAACTTCCCACTACGGGGAAAGCCCACTGCCACCCACAGGCACTGGATCCCGTACTTGTTGAGATCAGGGTTATCTGCTCACATTTGAGCACCATTGATGGTCATCTCAACTCAATCTATGTCTCAATGTATGCATTGCATGGGTCCATAACTATCTTAACAGAAAAAGCTAATAGAAATGAGGCATGGGTGGAAGAGGTGGAAAATTGAATTTCTACAGAGCATGATGCCAGATGAACCCATGAAATTCAACTGAAACACATGAGACAGATGCAAGAAAAATGCACCTTTTTCTACCATAATTTCTTTAAGGTGGTCATGAGGAAGTGATGGGAGTTTGACCCAGTGAGGAAAACTCTTGACCATATCCAGAATATGTTCAGAGGTTTTGGTTTTCCTGGCTAGACTATGCTGTATTCACAATAGTATTTATTCACCTCTCCAGCTTCTATGACAAACTTTATTTTCTTATTTATTTTTATTTTTCATTCAATTTTCAAGAATCAGTGGATTAAGGTAAATGGAAGAAAGAAATTAGAATATTGTAATAGCATATGAAATGATCAAGCTATGTATTACAACATTAATAAGAGTATAAATCTTCTGCTTCAAAATAGTACAGTATAATTTACTTTTAATATGGTGTAATTTGTTATTACTTTAGTATGTTTAATATTTAATTAGTATTGCCTAGGGCCTGGTTATTAGATCTCTACTTTGTTTATGTAGCGTGGGAGTGTATTCATCTTTTGCACCATCATTTTTTATGTTTTTTTTTGTGGGTTGTCAATGTGCACTGTTCACATTTCTGTTAGTTTTTTTGTTATTAGTTGGGTTTAATAACCTGTTCAGAACTGTGCATGCCCAATCAACTGTTGACAGGGCTTGGGGTGTGGTATACTTATTTGTTTTTTACTTATATTTTTTAAAATGCTTTTCTATTCTCATGGTTGCAACATCATCAAAGCTTTTATATTAACAGATTAACCAGCATCTGCAGGCATGAAACTTAAGTGAGAATCTCGTCCTATGGTATAACAAAATGAGAGGAAAAACAGGACACTCTTACCTTCGCTATCAATGACATCATGGGCTTCCATGGTAGGAATCGTCCTGAATCCATCATCTGGGAGAAGGGCAAAAAAGAAACGAATAGGAACTACCATTATTGAGGTTAATACAATCTACTCTCTAGCACTGTTGAATGGTTTGGATTTGCAAAGGACTTGGCCAAGAGCAGAGAGAGAAAGATAAATACAGATGCAGCCATTTAAAGTGAGCGGTACAGACACCGCGGTACAGATACCGCAGGTATGATGACACGGGGTACCGC